ATGACTAAGATAAGAAATAGATTATTTTTATGCCTTATCAAGTTTGATCGTATTGCGTCCCATAAAACCAATAACACACGCTTACACTACCCAGCTGTGTTTGTATGTATGTATGTATGTATGTATGTAGAATTCTCAACTACAGTTTTACCAATAATGATCTTGCAATCAAAGTAAGTATTTTGTATGCATACAATATATATATATATATATGTTTACAAAGTGATCTTATCTATAAATTGACTATTTACTAATTTGTACTCGTTCATAAATAGAGTTCATTTTAAGGTTATGCAATTAAATGTATCTGACAACTGCAGGTGTTTCCATTTATTTTTGAAGTATGCAGAAATATGTACATTTGTATGTATGGAAATATATGTGATAATGAAAAATTTTCATTTATTCATTTAAAATTGAAAAAATTCGTAAAAATACCGTTACTGAATAATTTCATTACTTTCACAGCGTCAAGAGGTTGAAAATATTAACACATTATAAGTGTTTATATACCCGTATACATACTTATGGTGCTCTTAAAAAGAAAATTCACCTTCAATTTTTCGTATTTTTCAACAAGATTTTTAGATTATTTTCTAAACTTTATTATTGTTTCTTTTTTCAATAATACCTATTTCAATTAATTTATTTTTTTAATTTTTTTTTATTGTATTTTGTTTTTTTTTTCTTTTTTCATAATAAATTTTGAATTTTTTTATTCCATTTTAATTTAACTCTCTTATTTATTTTATTTTATCTTATTTTTTTATATTACTTAATTTAATTTAATTTTAATTTTTTAATTTTATTTAATCTTAGTTTGTGTTATTAATTGAATTTAATTTTATTTTATTTCATTTCATTCAATTTCAGTTTATGTAATTTAAATATTTTTTTTTTTACCTTCTTTTATATTATTTAATTACATTTTTTTTATCACTTAACTTAATTCAATTTTATTTTAATTCATTTTATTTTATTCAAGTTTACTTACTCAAATTTTATTTCATTTAAAATTTGTAAATTTTTTTTACTATATTATTGATTATTTTTTTCAATAATACCTAATTGGCTTAATTTAATTTATTTTATTTCATTCCATTTTTTTTTTTATTTTTTTAAATTTATGCACTTTTTATTTCATTTTATTTTTCTTGAATTTCACTTTATTTTATTTTCGTGGAATTGATTTTTTTATTTCTTTATTTATTTTATTATTCTATTTTTTTTTTTTTTTTTTATTTTATATTTTATTCGCATTTCATTTTATTTGATTTTATTATAATTTGCTTCTGTATCTTGTTTAATATTCTTTTATTTTATTTTGTTTTATTTCATTTTATTTTAATTTAGGTTACAAAATTTATAATTTATATCTATTATTTATAATTTAATTCAATTTTTTTAATTTTATTATTTTTTTTTTTTTTGATAATACCTATTTCATTTAATTTAATATATTTTACTTTAACTTGTTTGATTTTATTTCATTTTCTTTCTATATTATTTAATATTTTATTTTAAGTTTTTTATTTTATTAAATTTAATTTAATTTGTTTTTGTTTTATATTATTACATTATATTTTAATTTTACTTTTTTATTTTCATTTTGATTAATTTTACTTTATTTTATTGTTTTATTATTTATTTATTTGATTTTTTATTTAATTATTGTATTTAAATTTTTAATATTTGATTGGATGTTCGTGGTTTGAATAAATTTGCTTCGCATAAGTATAGTTTTAAATAGTTTTTCAACTACATTTTTAATAGGTATTTTTCTTTCTTAGTCAATATGTCAAGAATATACAGTGAAATTTTTTAAGGAAAAAATTAAATATTTTTTAAGTTATAGTCGATCTCCAACGGCGCTAAAAAAGGTCCTTCACTGCTACCGTGATTCCGGCCTTCTAGGTAAACTAGGTAATATTGTCTGTCCTATGATAAAAAAATGACCTACGATAAAAATATTGACAATATGGCGGCGATTTAAAAAAAATAGTCGAATTACCCAATATTTTGGTCGTTTTTGACCTGCCAAAATTCGATTTTTTGATCAGATCAAAAATTGATAAGTCATTGTACGGAGAACTATATATAGAACATTTAAAAAAAAAATCTATAGTGATCGAATTATTTGTTTTTGAGTAATCACTGCAACAAATTTGGAAAATGCTGTTTCGAAAAAAACGCGTTCAAAGATAAAATGGTTGTTTTCACTCGTAGCTAATGAGACTCCCTAGCTGCAGATCAGATTTGAAATTTTAATATGTTATTTTTATAGTTGTAATCTACATCAAAATATGAAAAAATATCGATTTGCAATTTCACACTAGGGGTGCCCCTTAATAATCACACCAGTTTGATATTCAGTCCTGTTTTTCTTTAACTCATTGTATCCCGCTTTCCCTTTTGGCAAATAACGAATATATGACATCCGATTGCATTGATAATAGTCATTGGAAGTAAAGAAAATTCACGTTAAATTTTTAAATCTATTTACATATGTAAATGTATATACCTACATATATGCATGCATTAAAATAAGTACAATTATTCTCTGTTGCTACGGTTTCACCTGTTAAATGATTTTCATCCACATTCAACACTTCCGGCACTAAACCATGTTTTTATGTATTTATGTCTAATATAATTAAGACTATTTGCATTAGGCTAAGTAAAAAATTAATGAGAGAAAGATATTGCAAATAAAAAATGTAAAATTTCGAAAATGACTAAAGTTTTGTATTCAAAATCCCCCATATTTAAATTGCCATAAAAGAAGGTTTTTACAGTCCCAACGTTAATAAAAAAGTTTACAGCATATTTATCGGAACTTTCTTGCAGTTGAGTAAAATTTGTATGAAGTTCTTCATAAATATTTTTTGAATCATTTTAATGCTACCCTAATGTAAATGTGTTGATGTTAGGCCATGAACTGCCGTCAACAGTAGCCTCACTACTTGTGATCTAAAACACCTGAGCGGCTTCACTTTCCGAGTCATTGTGCCAGTTGCAACATCCTCCACTTAATTTCTGTGGAAAAGTGCTTTATATAAATACATACATGTGTACCTGTGGATGTATGTATGTATATACGTATGTGTCATGGTAACTATGAATGAATGAAGTTTTTTTTCCTCATTTGCGGAAATTAAACTTTCTAAACAAACTTCATTCGACCTTACGATGATTCAAAGCAACATTTATGTAGCTAAGTATGTATGTATTAGTATCAATATACATACATACATATGTGTACGCACAAATCACTTGAATTACGAGCTGCTTCATCACTTAGTCACTTGCGCATGTTGGTCGTTTAATAATGTAATTTTACCATTAACGTTTGTTATTGTTGTCGTTGTTGTTGTTGTTAATGTTGCTTCTTGTTGTTGATACTGTTTTATTGTTGCTGCTGTTAGTGGCGACACAGCAGTCAGACAGTTCATCAGTCTTTTGTTGACTACACATAGACATTAATAGCGCAGTGTTGTTGTTGTTGCTTATATGTATACATATATATATTTTGTCTTGTTTTATACTCCACTGCTGCTGTTTGTTGCATAAATACGTCACGGTTGCACCGAAGACAAAGTGAGAAAAATAACGCGAAACAATGCTCTAAAGACAAACAACAGCAACAACAACAACAACAACATGAATTAGTATTGCAACAATGTGCAAAACAGTTGCAACAGCAATTTCAGTTACAATGAGTTGCTGTTTAGCGTTTTTTTACTTACAGCTTGTCTGTTGGTGTGCGCGTGTGTGTGTGTGTGTGTTGAGATTTTTTGCTAGTTACTGTTTCATTGCATTGTTGTTATCGCTTTCGTCTTTTTTTTCGTCTGCGCAACTGCTGCTGCAGCAACAGGTGTTAGTTGGCTGTTAGCTGGTTTGCGCTACTTGGCTGCCTGGCTGCCTGGCTGCCTGGCTGCCTGGCAGCTTGTTTGGCAGTGGTTTTTTGCTCAGATTTACAGACACATAATGAATTCATAGATTTGTTAGCTCGATTTTATTGTTGTTGTTTTAGTCATACTCGCATATTGCATATATTGTATATACATTATACATACATACATACATACACACATACCTATGTACATACTCGTATTATATTATATATTGCATGGTTGTTATGTTTATTTCCATTAATTGTTGTTGCCGCTAATTTTTATTATTCCACAGCTACTTAAATACGTACTCGTATATAAATATGTATGTATATACATACTCGTACATACATACGTACCTACAGTTGTGTGGAAAATATGGTAAAAAAAATATTTATACAAAATTTTTCAACTTTTTGTTATATTGATTTCATTTAATTATATTTAGTTTATTTGTATTTCGTTTTCTTTTATATTTTTAGTTATTTTTTCTTTAATTTTATTGTCTATTATTTCATTATACTTAATTTATTTAATTACAATTTTATATATTATCCCTTTTTGTATCTATTTTATTTCATTATATTTTTTTATTATATTATTTTATTTTGTTTTAGTTCATTTTTATTTGTTTTATTTGTTGCTATGGTGCTTTTAAAAAGGTTGCATAAGCATTAGTTTTTAGCAATCCCCGCAAGGTCGCTTTCTTAGGTAAATAATGTTGTTTCTATTACAAATATTATTGTTCAAATACATTTCAAGTTGCTTATACATATATTAATCATTTTAGTTGAGATAGGTGTTATTAGCTACAAGTTTATTTTAATTTATTTTATTTTATTTTATTTTATTTTATTTTATTTTATTTTATTTTATTTTATTTTATTTTATTTTATTTTATTTTATTTTATATTGTTGTATTTTATTTTGATTTATTTTACTTTATTTCACTTTATTTTATTTTATATTTTTTTATATTTGTTTAATTTATTTTGGTTCATATTTTATATAAATTATAAATTAATTTTATTTAATAAAATTTAATTTAATTGCATTTTATATTATATTAATTTAATTATTTTATTTTATTTTATTTTCTTTCATATTTAATTATTTAAGTTTTTCATTTCATTGCTTGTAGTCCTCGATACCCGGTTATCCAGAGCACTAGTATGTATATACAAATGTAGTAGTATTTTTATTTATTTTTACATCAACAAGCCGTACTTGAAAGTATTATTTTCGCTTCTAGTGGTGCTCATTTTCTTCCATATAATTGCTGATGAAAATCTATTTTAAACTTTAACGTTACCATTTCCTTGCTCGCAACTGTAGGTATGTGCAGCTACTGTGGCTGCTGCTGTTGCTGTAATGCACCATTTTGTTTTAATTTTGTTTCCTCATACTCAGCTGCAGGCAGCTGATTTAGTTGTCTATAAAGAAATAAACATACATATACACATGTTGTTGTATGTTGTTGTATTTTTTTTTACCCATTGCTTGGTTCGCTGATTTTCTGCCTCTCTCATCGACAGGTGGATTTTTAATTACCATTGTGTATTGCCAGTTTGCCAAGTTGCCGAGTTTCCGAGTTATTGTAGTATTTTATTATTTAGTCGCTGCTTGAATGTACATTCACCTATACATATCTGTAGATACATATATGTATGTGAGTAGATATGTATATGCATAAAAACGTTTTCTTTAATTGCTCATTTGACTATTTTATTTCTATTACTACTTTTGCATTTGCTGTTTCTGCTGCTTCTTAGGTCTTCTTCTTCTTCTTTTCTTACACATAAAGTTTAACCTGTTTCGCGTTGTTTTCTTCATGTTTTTCTCTTTTTTTACTGTTACTTGACATTTGACCTCGTTTTACTGTTTCTCTTAGGTGTTTCATTCGTGATGCTAAATTAGATTTGTTTATTGCTGTTGTAAAAGAATTATGCATGATTATTGCCAGTATTGGCCAAGCAACATTTTTATTTTTCCATAATTTTTCCGTTTGAATAGCAGCAGCGCCGCAAATCGTTCCGAATGAAGCGTAAATAATTGAGCAATACAAAGGCGTAACGGTATTTCTGTAAAGAAAATGAGAAAAATATATGAATAGTAAAAATAGTAAGAGCAACAACTATTGTATAATGGATAAATGTAAAAATCGGAAATTAAAGCGGAAAATGGTTGATACGTTAATCCGGCAAAGAATCTCACCAATCCAGCCACTGATGACGCTGAAGAGAAGCTACACTCGTACTACAGTACATTTCTCCTCGCCTAAGACTTACCCCAGAAGAGTTGCTTAAAAATTTTAGTCCTCAACTTGGCCAAGTAACTATTTGGCTGTCGCGATAAGTCACGTCGTCAACATCAACAAATTATTGCTCGTCTTATTCCCAACCGGAGATGTTTCCCAGCCTGCCTGGGCAAAACACCATTTACTGAGGCACAGAGAGGAATATGTCTCCCTCAGTCCTCACGTATGGCGGCAGTCTTTGTTAAATCTGAATTCTCCTCGAATTGTACGTAATGTCTTGTAGAGCGTAATATGACGGGTGGAAAGGGGACAAAGTGGACACTAGCATAACCATTAACTTCAAGAAAACCGCGTCCCCAACATGACGTGATCTACTTTATATCCGCGCTTGGATGCTTGCCTTCAAAAGAAGTGTGTTTAAATGACAATTTCCGGAAACTTTCCGGTACTAATGTATAACAAGATCGAAAGCGAAGGAGCTGGAAAAAAAAAGTTTCTTTAGCCTATCTGACCGGGTTTCCCTCATAGTAAATATGTCAGTTGCCTAGTTTTATGGGTGTTCTTAGTAATTTGCAAACATTTTGTTTTGGGCAACACTAAAAGCTCTGAAATCTTTAGAAGATAGTAAACTCATGGCATTGTACGATCGTAAAGATATGGAGTGTCTCTTTAAGTGGATGATTCAACAATGCTAAGAGCGACTGTCAGAAGCCATTGAAAAGAAAAGGCGGGGAAAATTGATGGAAGGTGTACTACTTCCACAAGAGAAGCGTTGCTTTGGCTGCCCAGCATACGATGGACTTCGATACAATCCAGACTTGGTTCCGAGTAATTATTTTATATTTATGAACAGAAAAAAAGTCAAGGAGCCATCTCGATGGCTATGTCAATAAACAAAACTGTCGCTTCTGGGGTTCGGAAAAGCCGGATGGATTTATTGTTGAAGTCTCGCCATCCTCAACGTGTAACTGTTTGGTGCGGTTTAAGGTTTATGGTCCGGCGTAGTCCATTATGATTTTTTTCATGGTCGTAATATGATAATTTTGATCTGCACAACGTTTACTTTCAACAAGACGAAACTAAGTACCACATTAGCAGAAAAAAACCGTCGATCCTTTAATGGAAAACTTTCCGGATCTCACAAAGAGTTGATCGCATTTGGCCACCGAGATCTTGTGTTCATCTTGCGCCTTCTTCCTTTGAGACCACTTGAAAGAAAAGGTCTACGCCAATAGGCCAACGTCTATTCAAGACCTCAAAGATGTAACTCGTGAAGCTATTGAGGCCGGCATACAGCAGTCACTCTGCGATTTGCTGAAGGAAAACTTCAAAATAGGATGCGGTCCTGTAATCCTAGTTGATTTAATTTTCCAATACTCCTCTTCCTCTTTACTTAGAAATGAACATCCGATCGATCATTTAAAAAGAAATGCGAGTTTTCTTTGAATATCAAAATAACACCTCTTATTGGAAAATCCTCTGTTATATAACAATGTATTTACATATAAATTAAGAACGGAAATATTTAGTCCAAGGTGCACGTTCCGAATATTAAAATTTCATCTCCTTTCGTTTCACTATTATTCTTATTATTGTTGTACTATTATTAATATTATTTATGCTCATGCAATGTGACACTCGGCACATGCCAGCCAATAAAGCTTCAAACTAAATGCTGGCAACAAATCCCTTAATGCTTCTGCTATATTTACATGCAACGAAACAATAACAATAACAATAATTTAGTATCATAAAATGTCAAAGATGACAACTGCAAACGAATCGAGGCAAACGAGCCGCAAAGCAAAGAGCAAACAGTTAGCAAGAAAATTTGACATTTTAACAAGAAAACACAAATGCATGAGACTGCGAGGAGTGTAAGTGTGTTTGTGTGTGGTTAAGCGGCTAAAATGGAGAAATTGTAATGATTCGGCGGCTGATGGCCGGGCGCACATGTGACATGTCAATTCTCCAAAATATGCGCCACAGACACAAAAGCGCTAATTCTGTCGCGGCGCATAGCCAGCCAAAGAGAGGCAGGGCAAAAATGAAAGTGATGCTTGCATTCATCCATCCGTCGTCGACACACAGATCGACAAAGACAGCCGGTGCGAAGATGTTCGGTGCGGTCGGACGGTCGGTCGGTCGCTCGCTCTGACGGTGCTGCCAAATTGAGAGTCGAGACATTAAAATCCAATCAAAAATTAAGTGAAATGTACGCATGGCTGACTTAGCCGCCTAGTCGCCGCACCGTCTCCTCGCTGACTACCAGGCTGTATGCCTGACTGGCTCGTTGCCGTTTGTGGCATGTGGCATGCAATAGTTGCTGGCTGACGTTGGCAAGAGCTTTTTACAAACACACTCACATACTTATGTGTGCATCGCGTACAAACAATGAGTTCCATAAATAGAAAACGAATTAGATTTAGTAGCGGAATGTCAAAATTGCTGTTTGCATTCGATATTTCCATTTTTCCATCTTTTAAATAAATTTTGAAAAATGAGCTCAATGACAGTGTCACAAAGCCAACAACGACTGGGAGACGACGACCAGCGCAGCACACAATGGTATAGTGTTATTGTTGTTGCGTTGACATTTCGTTGGTAAGGTGAGCTAGTTGCGATGAGTTGAGACAAGATGAGACTAGCCGTCCGTCTGTCGTGTATTGTCAGGGACACTCATACGACGGTAGCGACACATTCACGTCTTGTTGCTGTACAAATAGACGCACGTCAGCGACGTCTGACATTCGAAAAGTTGAAGAATTTAAAGTTGAGCACAGAAAAATGCACAAATTGTCGCTGGCAATGGGAACTGTGCAGCAGTAGCAGCAGCACCAGCAAACATTTGCTGCAATAAATCATTGTTGGTGGCGTATGTGCGTGCGTTTATTGGGGCCCAGAGTAGTATGTATTGTGTATGATGGCAATTATTCAGAAATAATGGGAAAATTATATAAATGTTGAGACTTGGGAAATTTTTCAAATAAAAAAATATTTTCGGCGCTTCAAATTTCAAATGTTTGTGCGGGAGTAGCAGCTCGTAATTTCAATTATACGATCATAGATCGGTATTGGCGGCCGCAAAAGCCGCGGGTCGGGTTGGGCGGAATACAGCTCGGTAGGGTTTGAGTTTTCGTACGACAAAATGAGTAATTGCGGTCACTCCTAGTTAAGGAATGTCAACGCACCAGAGTGTGTTTCTCACATGAAGTGAAAGCTACTCATAAAAATCCCTCGTCCGTTTGGAAGTAGCTTAGACTGAACATACGTAGATTCTTCCAACACACTACAACTTTGGGGAGCTCGTTCGAAAATCGCTTCAGCGGTAACTAAGCGCCAACTATATTCCGTATTTATATTTTTCTATCCATGTTTACCCATTCCATTATGCTGGGGCTTGCTGCAACGTGGAATATTTAACGCCTCAATCGTCTGAAGGCAGGGCTCTTGTAGAGGTAGCAATCCACTGTTTAAAACTCTTGTGTGGATGCTTTGAACTTAGCAACGTCAACTTAGTTTGATAACAGATTGGTCCATTTTCAAACATCGCCACCCAACAGTAGTTTAGAACGGTCTTTGCTGAAGATCCCTTAACTTTTTTAGTGTCCACTGTTTTAAACATAATAGTTATATATTTAAGGCTGACTGCCCCAGCCAACAGAGCCTTGTGAAACTACGTTGGTACTGCTAAGAAGTTCCAAATATTTCAACCACTTGGTGTGTTCCATAAAATTCAGGAGACCAATGTCGCTTACCGATGCAAACTCTTCAAGACAAACGATGAAGATACATCCGAGAACACGATAGTGTACCACACTGAGAACTAAGCAGTGACAGCGGTAGTGCTACACCGATATATTTTCATCTATGTCTCGGTAGCTGCGGCAGAAGTTCTTCTACTATGAGTCACCATAAGACAGTGTCCGGTTGTTACGCCGGTTGTTCTGTTTATGGAGGTCGAGTTTAGAAGGAACAACGTCTTAGTTCTATTCACGTTGAGTAATGGCCAAAATTGTCTTGTCACATTGTACGTGGTTTCGCTCTGTCAACTGCTGTTGGCCTCAGTGGTGAAAACTAGTCCTAGCAGATATTTTGCCGAGAAAAACGGTATGCTCACGTCGTGAACAGAGTTTACCGTGATTGATACGCAGTTCCCTGGGATGACCCACTCATCCAAACCACGGATGTTTCGCTTACAGTCCCGAGTTTGTTCAAGAACTCTCTGCAGCTTATAGTCACCTTTGAGGTTAAATGATTGCACGGGAGAGACTTAACGACAGTCTGGCTGTCAGAATATATTGCAATAGGTTGACCACTGCAGAGATCAGAAACTTTCTTACTTCATTTTATAGTAACTGGTGCAGAGTAAAATCCACAACCCACATTGAAAATGGCTACGGAAATATTATCCCCGCTGCGCCGTAGGGGTTCACGAATTTACCAGCGGTGAGACATGCCTGTCATTAGAGACGACGGAAATTCAACAGTTCCCGCGACAGACGTTTCCTCATATCGGAACGACCCCGAGTTTGAAGAATATTTTTGTTGGTACTACAACAACAACAACACGGATCTACTATCCGGTATTACTGCATTTTTAAATTAGTTCCTCTCTGTGATTTTTGTTGACAAAATATTGTCGCAACAGCACTTGGAAGTGGTATCGTCCACCTCTTCCGAAAGCTTAGTACTTGGGCGTTCATATCAGGATTGGATTCCTGACTTTTATATGTTGAGCCCATCATTCATTCTTCATTTTTTGATGCGTTGAGCCATTTTTGAATTTTTTTTGTTACTATAGCTATAATAACCAAATGGTTAGAGGCCGGCGTTGTTCAGCGATTCAGAGTTTGTACGTCACACTGTAGGCAAGCCAACGAAGCAGCGCTCTCATTGCAACTACTTATATCCGTTATGCAGCCAATCAAGGTTTGGTACTTGATGCATCCCAACTGTTTCATGTCTGATTTATGATAAAGCTGGTCATTCACAGATGATTTAGAAAACTGTTTTCGTCCCTCCTAGCGGGTATGGTATTAACTTCGCCTCGTATTCGCTTAGACAGGTTCTTGACTTAGTCAACTCGTCTGCTTTTACGTTGCTGAAATGTTTCTGTGGCCGGCAACATAGATTATGGATAAGTGAAGTTCATCTGTCAGTGAGGTAGAAGCCTTCCTGCAATTGTTGACTGCACTGGCATTAAGCGGTAGGTAATCTTTTATATTTCATTGCTGCTAATTTGATTTTCAACGTGCACAAAACAACTGGTATTTACCTAGTATGCGTAACTCTAGTAACATTCTAGTTAAAAATCAACATCGTTTCCTACAGCATGGTGTTGCAACTTATCTAAAAACTGTAACTGTTCATAAAAGTGACAAAAATAAAGCCCACAAATATGTGCGAAATTGTTTGTGGATACCTAATTTAAAGCAAAAACTCAAATTCATTTCCAAAAAGTTCCAGAAAAATGAAGACAATTTAAATGAGTATCGAAATAAAGTAGAAAAAATGATTATTTTAAACGAAATTGAAATTTTTCTTCGCTTGCAACATTAGTGGCTTGCAACACACTTGCATATGTAGCTCTGATCGCAGGTACATATGCGTGTGTGTGTGTAGTATTATAGTCAACAAAAATGTCATTCAACGTTGAATGCCGCGCAATTGAGCCGTCAATCAATTTGTTGTTGCCACTTTCATATGGGCATTGCTTGTTGCAAGCGCTAGCGGAACATTACCCATACATATGTATGTGTGTTTACATATTTACATGCATTGATATACGCATATACAAGTACTCGAACTAAGCGACGAACTGTCGATCGATGATCAAATCGCGATTGCAAAGCGTCGAACGACACGCCGATTGCCAACAATCAATTATGTTGTTGTACATTTCTTAGTGTTGTTTTCATTCTATTTTCACGTTGCTGCTTTTGTTGTAGCAGCGACACGTGCAAGCGACAATCATGCTGCCAACCAATGCGCGCATGTCGGCAACTCATTAGTTTGGCAACGCTGGTTGATTTTTGGATATGTCATGATATTGTTGTTGTTGTTGTTGTTCCTCTATGTTTGTGCTAGTAGCAAAAATTGGCATTGCGTGGCATGGCAGCGGAGCAAATTGCATGCACATATGTTGCACCACCGACGCGACAGTAGCCCAAAAAAAACAAAAGCAAAAAATACCAAGCAAACTATTGTTGCCTTTGTAGTAACATATTGATGCACTCGCTCGAGCAATACAACACATGCCTCGCAGTTAACATAGCTGCTGGCCTCTCGCCCCTCGCCACCTCCAGCTCTCCCACCAGCTTTTATTAATAGACTTTTGTCAGACAGCAGCTCCTGATGGTTGGATGTTGGCTGTTGGCTGTTGACTGCTGGCAATGCCAAAACGGCCGACAGCTGCGACAGCCGGCAATTGTTGCTGTCGCGACTGTCGTCG